CTGTCCAAAGCAATTGAGGAGCTCATTCAGAGAGGAAAGGGAATGCTATTTCCGACCAGGAGAACGTCACCCTAGCACTAACTCATTCTGGCTCATTCTGGCTGTTTAAAGACAAGTTTCAGTAAAAGTACGTTTAGTTTTTCTAGCAGAATCGTCGGCAAAGGCCTCCTCTTCCATCCTGCTGCAGTAATTTTCTCTTTGTCATAAGTTTGCTAATTCTAGTGAAAATCCATGTCAAGATTTTCTTTGCCATTAAAAGCAGCGACGTGTACGAAACCTTGCCATATTGCCCAGTCAATATTAGTTAATATCTTTTACAAGAATGTGCATTTACTAGTCCACAGACAACACCAAGAAAGTTACAACATTTGTTAGAGTTAGCAACCGACTTTCTTGTCTGGGATTGGATTGAGATTGGACTGTAGATCTTATTATTATCTATTACATGAGTAGTCTCATGTGAAATAAAATAAGACAGAAGAAACAAGAAGAGACCTAGACAACAGCAGCAAAAACAAAAAAAAAACAAAAAGACAAAGGGATTAATGATAGAGCACTAGGGATCCAGGGTCCACCTGCTTATCCACGAGCCTCTGAAACTAGATAATTTGGCAAGAATGAGAGTTTTGCGAGACAGAGCAGAACAGGCGTTACCTGCACTGATTGTGAAAAAAGTGATGCCTACAACTGGTGCGATGTCTCGGAACAGCAGGTTTTGTTATAGACTGGCTGTCAGGTAGAATGCATCAGCGCAAACACAGCAAAGACTGGTCACTATTTTATAATAGAAAATAAGATCAAATCTCTTTCTTCTACATACGTTCCCTACATAAGAAGTACGTATTTTTTCATCAGCCATTCCAAGAACTCGAAGCATGTGCTTCCTGATACGCCTTCTAATTTCTAGAAGGATTCTGAGAGAGGATCTCAAGAAAGGTGCAGGGCTAAGGTGCAAAAACCTCGGCTTAGATGTCATTTTTGGCCCAGAAATTTACTTGAGAAAACTCGTCCGCATTTACGGACGAGTTGTCCATTCAGTTGTTTCTTTCGCTGGCATCACAGCTGAGACGAGATTTTCGATGTTGCTTAACATTGTAACGAGTGAGTAAAGAGCAACTAACAACAACCATGCCTTTCTGACGCGTTTAACTTGTCCATGGCTTGTACATGTAGGTACGATTCTCACCCTCGTCATCTCCGTTTGCCCACTTTGCCCATTCCGACAGAGGCAATTTTTCCAGCGAGAATCAAGTTTCAAGCATTTTTACTTTGGTTATGGTTTGTTGGACCACAGTCCTTCCCTAAATTGACGAAAGCTGCATAGCGATTTTTTCTATGGATGCTGCCTTCAAGCGATTAAATATTACAAAGCTATACTCCACAAAAATTGGAGCGTTTTTGCAAATTTGCGTGGTCATTCTTGAGCAGCGACCATGCTAATCGTCTCTGTATCATTCCAGTTTCAGTACATGTTCAAGAATGAACGAAACAGATACTTTCGTAAAGAAAACTCAGGAGTGAAAATCTGCGAAATTTTGTGTCATGACGAAAACTTCACTGTTCTCAAGATTCTGAATTTTGTGCCCCTGTGCTCAGCTTCGTGCCAAAAGCCGCAAACTTTTCCCGCAGAGGAAGATTTACACAATCATAACTTTTTAATTTTAGCAATTTAGGCTTAGAACCGATCGAAATGTGATGTGTAGGTAAAAACAATAAAGCAGATTCTTTTCGCTGGCATCCAATCATTTTTCGACTACCCGAACATCCTTGATGTTTGGATGTTTACGTAACGGACGCTAGCAGCTAGTTATAGCTCGGAGCTTCGAGAGTTTTGAGTGGCGTTCGAGTCCTCTGAATTTCCCATTTGACCACTACTCCTGAAATTCCTTTCAACCGTGACCTACCTTCTCTTTTTCATGATATCAACGTTTCCTTCCTACTAGTATGCTTTGGGTGCTCTCCATGCCCACTTTTGAACTGGTCAAATGCATTGGAGGCCAATGATGGAATTCATTTAGCAGGTATTTTCCTGCAAAATAAATTGCGAACTAATCGCGAGGAGAAAAAATTATGAAAGAGCTGCTTTGAACTAATTCTAATGGCAAACAGGCAGATTCTAGTAAAATGTATATGCTCAAACTAATTTCCATCCCCAAGGACCGAACTTCATACCGTAGGGCGTAGGAGGGTGTCGCGGCGATGGCACATGCCCTGTCGACATCCAATGAGTGGCCGCTGATCTAATTGTGGCCGTCCTCATCCAGCAGCAACTTCTTGCGCCTTCAAGAGCATCCACTTGTTGATTTGCATTCGACGAACTCGGTTCTGCTGATTGTAGCCAGCCTTCATGAAAATGTCGTCTCTAATGCTTCCAACTTTGAACGACTTTATTCTCGCTTGGAATGCCTGCATATTTGATCTACGCATTATCAGTGAATTTTTTAAATCGTAACTTGTAGCTACTGAATTCGTAGCAAGTAGTGAAGCTAAAGAAATTAGTGTGATCAATGAAAGCGAGAACTTTTGATGCCTCTAGGTCAAGCAGTGAATGCCGCAAAATTCACATATTCTGCATGTTTGCCTTCGTTGATAATTTTACTAGTACTGTCATTAATTTATTTCCATCGAGAGCTTAGAAGTCAAGCTGGGTTCACGGTTTTTGGGCATTACATCAAAGACAGCTTTCAATCTCATTTTGCTGTAGAGTTTCGCTGTAGGGCAATCAGCTCCGCTTCCTCTACA